ATATTATATATTTAATATTATGTCGCTAAAAGTTAAGCGCACGTTTTTTTTTGCGCATAAAAAAATTTTCATTTGTAGTGATATTTGAAAGCTAAAAAGTCAAAAATTTCCGTGGATATACGATTTACCCAAATATGGACTTTTTAAAATATATGCTGTCTGGACTATTTATATGGTTTAGAGGGATTTGCCATAGTTATTATAAGTTTAACTTCACAAATTTTCAGTATATAAGGTATCGTACTGCTTATTGACACCGTTCCACACAGTTAATAACCAAAGCAGTCAGCTGCACTGTCGAAACGCGTAAATGTCGCGCTTGCCATTTACTTACCGATGACGTCAACGTGTCGACATCCCAGTCCATGGCGTTTGCGCGCGAAGCGAACCGATTAAAACTTTAATATCTAATAACTTTTTAAAAATAAATCAATATAACAAAACATTTACACATTGTTTGTAGTATTCAGTGTAGATACAAAAACTATTAAAATATTTTTTTCTGCAAGAGGCTTCCGACAGAATTCTAAGAATTGTAAAACAGCAGTATGTTGAAATTCACTATCTTAGAACTTTTTTCCGTTTAATTGTTGCTTATCGCCACATTCAAGGATTTGTTTGAAATATACAGGGTGTTTTAATAAAAACTGTTAAAAGTTGATAAGTCATATATTCAATAATATAATATAATATCTAAAGAAATTTACAAGGGATATTTGTTAAAGGTTGGAAGAAATTTTCTTGCCGAAGATTTTACAAAAGGTTTATTATCAAATTATTCTAAAGTCGTTGATGAATTGCGATATGTGGTACATTATTTTGTCACGAAAAATACAAGACTTTGACTATATTTGCAGTTTTTCCTAATGCCAGGAGTAATAAGATGTCATAATTTTTTGTGGAAAGTCTGTAAAATACACATCTTAATTTTTTTCTGTTCTTTCTGCCACATTTTTTTATTATTTAGAGCTCGCCGTACGTAATGCGCAAGGAAGCGAGCGAAAAACTGGTCGGCAACGCCCAATTCGAGGGCTACGCCGTGGACCTCATCCACGAGATCTCCAGGGTCCTGGGCTTCAACTACACCATCCGCCTGGCACCTGACGGCCGCTACGGCTCCCTAAACCGCGAGACCAAAGAATGGGACGGCATGATGAAGGAGCTATTGGACCAGAAAGCCGACCTGGCCATCGCCGATCTCACCATCACCTACGACAGGGAGCAGGCCGTGGATTTCACGATGCCCTTCATGAATCTGGGCATTAGTATTCTTTACAGAAAACCCATCAAACAGCCGCCTAATCTGTTTTCGTTTCTGTCGCCGCTGTCGCTCGACGTGTGGATCTATATGGCAACTGCGTACCTCGGGGTGTCGGTGTTGCTGTTTATATTGGCTAGGTGAGAAGTTTAGTACTTATGCTTTCCAAATTGCTGAAATTAATAAATAAGGCTGGTTCAAAAGATCCGCGAACTTTATTGTCAAATGAGTTAATAAATATAATTTATTTTCGATATATCTCCAACGACCTGACGGACAAAAAATTATTATTGAAAAATATATACACAACTTTAAAAGAAAAGGATACTCCAAAAATAAGAAAATAATGCTTATAGGCGGAGGCATTTCGATTACATGAGAAAGAGTTTGTGATTGTTGTGGGGGGTGCTTAAAAAGCTTAACTTGAGATTTGAGACCAAGATTTTCTATGTGCATTTTCCGCCATCTTGGAAAAATGGGTGAATTTTTGTTTTTGCTATAACTCGGTTCCCCGTCAAGATACGGAATTGTTGTTTTATTGTTTTTCGGTCCTCTTTCGACGACCTACAACTTAGGTATTTGATCTCTTTCTTATATTTTCAAAATATAAACTTATACAAGTTCATTAACTATTTAAATAAAATTTTATCTTGAATTTTGGCAATTAATGGATTAATAAAAAAATAAAAGAAATATAGAATAGTAAGAATTTGTCCTACAATAATATAAGGATCTTCAACAGGACGTGCACCGATTCAAGTTAATAAGATAATAATAGTAAATAATGATCAAAATAAAATTTTATTTATTGGATAAAATTGATTTCTTAATATTTTTTTTTATTAGAAAAAGGAAGAGTATATAAAATAGCAATTGATATAATTAAAGCTAGAACACCTCCTAATTTATTAGGGATTGAACGTAAAATAGCATAAGCAAATAGAAAATATCATTCGGGTTGAATATGTACGGGAGTAATTAAAGGATTAGCAGGAATAAAATTATCAGGATCTCCTAATAGATAAGGATTACTTAAAGTTAAAATTAAAAGAGTTATAGATATAATTAATATACCTAAAATATCTTTATAAGAAAAATAAGGATGAAATGGGATTTTATCAAAATTTCTATTAGTTCCTAAAGGATTATTTGATCCAGTTTGATGAAGAAATAATAAATGAATAATTACTAAGGAGATGACAATAAAAGGTAATAAGAAATGTAAAGTAAAAAATCGTGTTAAGGTGGCATTATCAACTGCAAATCCTCCTCATACTCATTGAACAATTATTGTTCCTAGATATGGAATAGCTGATAATAAATTGGTAATAACAGTTGCTCCTCAAAAGGATATTTGTCCTCAAGGTAATACATAACTTAGAAATGCTGTTCCTATAACAATAAAAAAAATAGTTACTCCAATTATTCAAGTTTCAATTATATTATAAGATCTATAATATATTCCTCGTCCAATATGAATATAAAGACAAATAAAAAAAATGAAGCCCCATTAGCATGGAGTGTTCGAATTAATCATCCATAATTTACATTTCGACAAATATGAGCAACTCTTCTAAATGCTATTTCAATATTTGGGCAATAGTGTATTGCTAGAAATAATCCAGTTACAATTTGAATTCCTAAGCAAAGTCCTAGAAGAGATCCAAAATTTCATATAGTTGAAATATTGGAAGGTGAAGGTAGATCAATTAAGGATCCATTGATAATGGATAAAATAGGTGAAGTTTTACGAATAGGTATTTTCATTAATTTTTTTGTCGTAAAGGTCCTGATTTAATATTAGTAATTTTTACTACTATAATTAATGTAATTAATAAATAAATAATTATTATGAAAAAAATAATGTTTATAGGTCATATTAAAAATTTATTTATTGATAGTTTATAATATTGAATTATATTTTGATTTGAGAGATTATTTATTAAGTTTAAATTAAAAAAGAATAGGTCTATAATAAATAAGGTGATAGTGATTAAGCAAAGTGATCTAATTAAAATAAAAAGTTTATAAGAAAATTGAAATTTTTCATTTGATGCAATTCTAGTTATATAAATAAATAAAATTAATATACCACCAATTATAATTAAGAAAATAATATAAGAAAATCAAAAGTTATAGTTTATTAATCCTGTTATTATTGCAATTAAAATAGTTTGAACTAGTAAAATTATTCCAAAGGAAAGGGGATGATTTATAAATAAGAAAGAAATTCTTATAATAATGGAACTTATAATTAAAATTATAGTAATTTCAAGAAATAGTTTATTTTAAAAATATTAATTTTGGAGATTAAAGATAAGGAGAATCCTTTTTCTTGATGTTTTAAAAGAAAAATCTTATTTTTGGTTTACAAGACCAATATTTTTTATAAATTATTAAAACTAATGTTAATTTATATTATTTTATCTTTATGTTTAAGATTATCAGGAATAATAGTTTTTGCTTCTAAACGTAAGCATTTATTAATTATATTATTAAGGTTGGAATTTATTATAATTTCTTTATATTTTAATATTTTAATTTATTTATCTCAATTAAGATATGAATTTTTTTTTTCTATAATTTTTTTAACTATAAGAGTATGTGAAGGGGTCTTAGGATTATCAGTTTTAGTTTTAATAATTCGTACTCATGGTAATGATTATATTATAACTTTTTCTTCATTATGATAAGTTTTTTTTTTGGTTTATTGATATTAATTCCTTTATGTTTTATTTCTAATTTTTGATTAGTGCAGTATATTTTTTATATTTTTACATTTATATTTTTAATTAATATTTCAATAACTTATTTATGAGTAAATATTTCTTATATATTAGGAAGGGACATATTATCTTATTCTTTAATTTTATTAAGTTTTTGAATTTGCAGATTAATAATTTTAGCAAGGGAAAAAATTTTAAAATTAAAAAATTATAGTAATCTTTTTTTATTTATTATAGTAAATTTAATATTATCTTTATATTTAGCTTTTTCTTCTATAAATTTATTTTTATTTTATTTGTTTTTTGAGATTAGTTTAATTCCCACATTAATTTTAATTATTGGGTGAGGGTATCAACCAGAACGAATTGAGGCTGGTGTATATTTATTATTTTATACTTTATTGGTTTCATTACCTATAATAGTTTCAATTTTTTTTTATTATAGAAATTATTGTAGATTAGATTATTATTTTATAAAAAATGATTTAAACAATATTTTTATATATTTATGTATAAATTTTGTATTTTTTGTAAAAATGCCTATATTTTTTGTTCATTTATGATTACCAAAGGCTCATGTTGAGGCTCCAGTTTCTGGATCTATAATTTTGGCTGGGATTATATTAAAATTAGGTGGTTATGGTTTAATACGATTAATAAATTTATTTTTAACAATTGGTATAAAATTTAATTTTATTTTTATTATTATTAGATTAGTTGGGGGATTTTTTGTTTCTTTAATATGTTTACGGCAGAGAGATATTAAATCTTTAATTGCTTATTCTTCAGTTGCTCATATAGGTTTAACTTGAGATTTGAGACCAAGATTTTCTATGTGCATTTTCCGCCATCTTGGAAAAAGGGGTGAATTTTTGTTTTTGCTATAACTCGGTTCCCCGTCAAGATACGGAATTGTTGTTTTATTGTTTTTTTGTCCCCTTTCGACGACCTAAAATTTAGGTCATATAAACTTTGCACCTATTATTGTTAGTTGTTGAAATATCGAACAAAATTTATAAAAATTCAAAGATTCGATCTGATTTTTCGGATTTTTCTCTTTTTCCTTAATACTTATTGAAAACATGTCTATTATAAAACTTGTAGGGGGCGTTTGTACAAACAATTTGGTGTCTTTGTTTTTGCCCCAGGGTGATAATTGCGTGTTTTATCGCGCCACGAAGTCAGCAAGTCCTTGCGAAGTTTCGATTTTTCCGTCCGCGCGCCGCCATGGTTTTCGCGATAACTCGGTTCACCGTCGAGATAGAGATTTGTTGTTTTGTTATTTTTTGTGTCTCTTCCGATGATCTACAATTTAAGTCCTATAAACTCTTCACCTATCATTATTACTTGTTGAGATATATAACAAAATAGATAAAAAATCAAAGATTCGATCTTGTTTTTCGGGATTTCCTCTTTTTCCTTAATACTTATCGAAAAAATGTATATTATCAAACTTGTAGAGGATATTTGTGCGAACAGTTTAATACTTGTGTTCTTTCTCTAGGGTAGTAATGCGGGTTCTGTCGTGTTGCGAAGTCGACAAGTCTGTGCGAAGTTTTTATTTTATAGCTCACGCGGTTTTATAGGTACGTTGTTATGGATTCTAAATAAAGAACTAACACAGTGAGATTATGTTTCACACGTATGAAATTTATTATACAAGAATGTTTTCGTATTGAAGAAGTATCTACGTCTTCCTTCGCTTCGACAGCCCTGGTTCACAGTCCCTCTGTTGAGGGTACTTTTCGATACGTGGAGATTCTTCGGCCATATTTTCTCCGACTGTTGAATCATCTTCGGAATCTAATTCGTTGTCACAGATGAGGATATCGACTTTGGCAACGTTTCTGCATGTTTGTCCACTGCAATTGAACATGCAATGCCAGCTCTTCTGCACCCACAAGCAGTTCCACATTTTTCCTTGCATTTGCAAGACATTAGCTTCAAAAGCTCGGGTGGCGCAGATTCAACCGTATTAATAATCGGCTCTAGACCATGGTCCGTTCGTTGTCAACCCCATTCCTCCGGATCCTTGTAAAACCCAAGCCAAGTTTATACCTGATGATACGTGCGGAAAATGTGTTGTCGTGCTACGCTTCTTGTTGGTGGGAGTGTTGGTGGGAGTGATGATGATGATAGGTTGAATCTATTTCTGGTGATAGATTTTGCGTAGCGTTGATATCGTAGCGCATTGATGTTTTTGCTGTGCTTCTCACCGCCATATAGAGCAATGAGAAATCGTTCTTCCGTGGATGCCAGATCCTCCGGATTGACATGTTCTCGTTTGAATAAATCAACCGATGATAGGAGTTTCGTATGTTTTTCCAATATGCTGAAGAATTTCGATTTGCCAATGCTGAACAAAGATGAGGTGGTATCGCGACCGCTGAATGTATGAATGATAAATATGTTTTCGAGAACGGATTTATTATGTTTCATACTAGTTGGAGAGTAAAGTGTTCCTGGTGTATTTCTTTTTCCCGATTTTCGAAAGTATACATTTCTTTTGTCTTTCGCTAGTCCAGTGAGAAAAATCAAGAGATCGATGTCTTCGCCAACGATTTCAACCGAATCGTACTTTGATGCTTCTGCGAGTGAGGTGGTTACGATCAGAGTGCCCGCATCTTCAAAGGCTTGTTCGACTCTGATTTCAGTTTGTACAAAATGAAGGCGGAACATTTTTATAAAGTTGTCTTTGTTCTTGCTTTTTATCAATTTAGTTCGATATCTCAACAACTAACAATAATAGGTGAAAAGTTTATAGGATCTAAATTGTAGATCGTCCAAGATGGCGGAAAATGCACATAGGAAATCTTGGTCTCAAATGTCAAGTTAAGCTTTTCTAAGCACCCTTCACAACATATAAAAAATTTGGCTTTCCCGTTCACTTTCTTTTCCAAATGTACAGAATGACTGAACTAATTGTACTCCGAGCCCTATAATTTATTTAATCATTTTCAGAAGGAATTTTTTCCCATTATCTTAAATTCTTAAGACAAAATATAAAACATGTTATGATAATCTTAACCATTTCGTCTTATCTTTTCCTCATCTAGTTTTGCTAGACTTCTGCTAATTAGCTAGACATGAACGAAGTTTAATCAACTAAGAATCCTTGCCTAGAGCAATATCATTAACTCACCTCCTAATTAGCGTACTTTCCACTCCTACATCTTCACTAAAACAGCTTACAAGTGTTACAATTTTTATTGCTCCTCATTCAAGAGACATCAAAAGAGCTCTCCACGTTTAAAAGTTGAGGATATGTCATAAAACTTCTTATAATTGGATCCTGTTCCTCGCGAGCCAAGACCCTTATTTTGCGTCCCGAGTAGAGAGCAAGCATTTTTTATTGATTTAAAGCAAGTTTGAAGTAGCCCTGCGGGGGGAAGGGGGAGGGGGGATGGCTGCAAAACGAGGGAATTATTTTATAAAGTCCAGAAAGGAAAATAAGGGCGCTCAAAACGGGTGTCTTAAAATTAAGTCTATAAGTTTCCAACTAGCCTTCTGTTTCAAGATGCCTTTTAACTGTGCTTGGAAAGTTATTATTAGTCATCGCCCAGCTTTGGTGACTTGATACGTATACAGGGTGATTCTTAAATAATTTGTAATAATAATTTAATAAAATGTAAAAAAAATTGAAGAAGTATCACCATACACCAAAACAGTTTCAAAGTAAGTACATCAAAACTCTTTGGAAGCGTTCAAAACCTATAAATTTGTAAAAATATATAGAAATACTATCGAAAAACATTGAATTAGAATTAAAAAAAGAAAGAAGGTTGTTTCCATATAGATTCAACAAATAAAGAAAATCGACCTCTTTTTTTTTGAAACTTTGGAATGTTAATCTGTTTTTGTTTTTCTGAAAAAAAATTTTTGGAGCTCTATGAAGCCATGTTAAATTTACATCGTGACAGCGTTATACCGAAATTGAAAATGCATATTTTTTTCATGTGAACGTCATTTGGACCCAAATCATCCTACCGAAATGTTTTTTTCAAAATGTGCAGAATTTCATCAGCATTTACTTGTTTTTTTCAGAATTCAAATTGCTTTAAAACTTTCTGTGATAAATGAGAAAAACGAAAAAAAAATTTGTTTTTCAAAATTGATTTTCTCAAAAACCGCATTTTTTGTTTTCACCATATTTGGATATGTTTTTCAACGCCAAATAAGCTATCTTTTAGCCAAGCGGCAATATGCCAACTTGTTTCGTTCGCGAGATACGGTTTCGATGGGCATTTTTTCTAGTTTGTCATTTTGACCCAAATCATCCTGTCGAAACGATTTTTTCAAAATTTTTCAAAAATGGCACACAATCAAGCTTATCTGAAAAAATCCTGGAATTTATAATTGAATTAATTATTAGATTAAGTAACTAAAGACTTTAAAACATTTTGCAACTTAATTTTTCCTATGCTGATATCTTTCTGTCTTCGGTAGGTACATACATATATATTTTCATAGTAAAGTTGGTATTTCTTTGATCTCTTAAGCAGTTAGCAAACCGTCTTACTCTTTTCAACATTACCTATGTAGTGAATAAAAGTTTCCCAGTTCATCCAATTATTCTGCGGGTAAATCTTTTAAACTTCTTGGAATTTTTTTAATTTTCATACGTTTCGAATTTATTATCTCCAATATCACTTTCAATGAGCCATTTCCAAGAAAGTTTTCTGTTTCTTTTGATTTTTTTCGACACATCTGACAGATGAATTAATTTCTTTATCTCAAATTTACAAAATTAATTTCATTAAAAATGTTGTAAGTAAATTATAGCGCTATATATTTGTTTTTAAATATTTTTCCATTAACCGGCGTATTCTCTAACGCCTAGTAATGGATTTATTTGCCAATAAAGGCCCGACTGGATATTTGTGGGGCTTGTCTTACACGTTCAGCAACTTCCTGTATCCTTCCGGTGAATTTCTCTTCTACTACGACTCCGGTATCGACGGCTTTGTACGAGCCTAGCCGCTAAACGACTGAATCGATTAACATTGTTCTATGTTCCTCAATAATTTCATGAATGGAAATGATTCATTAGGTTAATAATGATGTTTTACATCGTAAGGTTGGAATAGTTTGCTTCAAATGTGCTTTTTTATTTAATTAAGTTCCGGATATTAACCTCGTGTCATCTAAGCCAGTGGAAACAAAAATCATTAATGAAATTTTTTTCAGGATGTCGGTAATAGAAATGCCATATAATGTCCACAAAAGTAGCAAGTTCTTAGATTACAAACTAAATCCGAAATATAGTCTCGAACACTTCACATATAAAACGTACTTATAAAACAATTGCTTATAAAACGGCACTTAAACTGCGAACATCCTATATACCTACCCTCTGCTGAATAAAAATATTAAAAAGGTTTTTGTCGGTGTTGTTTTTGAAATTATAATCCCTCGCAAAAGGCCGGATTTCATCTGAAACAGCCAAGGCAAATAATCAATTAAGGACTCGCGTCTTAATCGACGCGAGAGTGGGCCCAATCAGGATAATTAGTCATGGCAACTAATTAGCTGCCAGTAATTGGTAATTATAATTACATGACTTCACTCTACGGCTTACACCCGATTCTATTTCGGGTGAGTTAATATTAATATTGCCAAACGGCGTTATCGTTTATATCTATTGGAAAGTAACGAGCGTTCAAATAAAAACGTGGTCAAGTTGGTTCTGAAAATTTGGACGTAGGGCGTAGCGTATAGCAAATGAACTTAAACGTCATCTGTCAAAGCGCTATATCGCCGCTATCAATTTGAATATTTTCGTTTTAAAAAGCGTTTAAAATGGTGTTTTCTCAAGAACAAAAAGTGTTGGAATATGGAAGTATTCTATTGAGGAATGTCTCATAGAATTTCAAAATCAATTTCCCGGCGTTGTTGGGTACAAAATTTTTCAAAGTGCAGTTCAGCGTTGTGTTAATGTTTTTCGTGAAACGGGCAGTGTAACAAGAAAAGAAGGAAGCGGCCGACCTAAAAAGCGGACTGAAGAATTAAAAGAAAATGTCCAACAAATAATGGAAAATGCGCCAAGTACTTCTGTACGTGTTTTATCACAAATGGTGGGAGTATCAGTCGGTACCTGCCACATAGTGTTAAAAAAAGATTTGCGTTTGTTCTCCTATCGTTTAACTTGTCAGCAAGAACTTCATGAAGTTGATTTTCCGCGACGGGCTGTATTTTGTGAATGGTTTTTAAACAACTACGGTGAACTTCATAATATCACCTTTTTTTCTGATGAAGCCTGGTTTCATTTAAGTGGTTACGTAAACTCACGGAATATGAGAATGTGGTCTTCTGAAAAACCAGATAACTTTTTTGTCGAGGGCCCTCTACACGCTCAAAAAATTGGAGTTTGGTGTGCTCTCAATCGAAGGAGGATTTATGGACCTATTTTTTTTAATGGTACTCTTACTGCGCAAAGGTATAGAGAAGAAATTATCGCTCCTTTTGTTAACCAGCTGGAAGAAAACGAAATTACAAACTTTTACTTTCAACAAGATGGCGCCAGGGCACATACGGCAGGCGAGACGATGAATATGTTGAGGGAAGTTTTCCAAAATCGACAAATAAGTCTCAATGCTGAACATGAATTTCCACCGAGGTCATGTGATATTACGCCGTGTGATTTCTTTTTGTGGCCTTACCTTCTTAAAAACACTATTTTTGAACTGCCTATTCCTGATTTAAACCATCTGCAGGCTCGACTTATAGACAAGATTCGTGAAATTAACAATACCCCGAGCATCTTAGAAAATGTCTTCAATTCTTTGAGGAACAGGTGTGAAAAGTGCTTGGAACAAGGAGGGGGACACTTTCAGCAGCTGCTTTAATTTATTGTTATAACAAGGAGGGGGACACTTTCCGCAGCTCCTTTAATTGTTTGTTATTGTTATCACGATTATTCTTTAAAATAAAGTTATATATAGTCATTAACGTTATTGAAACTGACAGCTGCTATACAGCTCGTTGAGAAATGAGGTTAAGTTGGTCGCTAAAAGCTACTCCCTACGTCCAATGTGTCAGAGCCAACTTCGACCACGTTTTTATTTGAACGCTCGTTATTAATCTGTAGCAATTAAATTGCTACGTCGATACAAGGATAAAAACTAAGGGCTAGTCATAGAAACCATGTAGTTATGTTATACTCATCTAATAATATTATTTGTTCAAGCATGTACACCAAAATAATAATAAAAAATCATGTTCGAAGAGTATTGACGCTGGTACTTTTGAACACACGATGATCTATTTGACACTCGACAGGTTCACCCCGTACGAATGGCAGAACCCCCACCCGTGCAACCCCAACCCCGACCACCTAGAGAACCAGTTCACCCTGTTCAACTGCATGTGGTTCGCCATCGGCTCCTTGATGCAACAAGGATGCGACTTCCTACCCAAGTAAGCCACTAGATTTAGTAAAGCTGTTCTGTGGTTGCAGGTTCAGCCCTTACGAGTGGGACAACCCGCACCCATGCAACAGCGAACCAGACGTACTGGAAAATCAGTTCACTCTGTTGAACTCCCTGTGGTTCACCATCGGGTCGCTGATGCAGCAAGGCTCCGACATTGCTCCAAAGTAAGTCCACCGGTGTGTTTGGTGTTTGCGTTAAGTTATTTCAGTAAAGGTAGGCATGTCGTAGTCTTGCGGTATCGAATACATCATACAAGTACATTGTAACTAGTTGCCATAACATTTATCTAGAGTAGGTACATCATCCTCGCAGTATGCTTAAGGCCGTACAATGGTAGAGAAGGGAGTATTGCTGTGTCGAGTACATTTTAGTTAGTATATTGTTACTATGTGTATCTTTATTTAGATTATACGAAAAGAAGAACAAAGGCGAAATTGCATGTTATATTGAAGTTAGTATCTTCTCGTGTTAATAAATAATTATCCACTTCCAAGACGACATTCCCTAGGCAAAAATAAGCAAAACAGTTTATATAAAATCTTAGTCCGGAAAGGCACCATTTTCGAGGTAGATTTTTAATTTTTGGTGACCAATACATCAATTAGGTTTGTAGAAAATCAGAAACGATATAGTCCAGACGGTATCTATTTCAAAGAGTCTATATTTGAGTGAATCGTATATCCACGGATATTTTTGGCTTTTTGGCTTTCAAATATCACTAGAAATGAAAATTTTTCTATGCGCATAAAAAGAAAACGTGGGCTTAACTTTTGGCGGCACAATATGTTAAAAAAATTCGAAAAATGTCATATTTTTCTTCCTATTTAATTATGTATCTTTTCAAGAGTTGATTTTAGGCGAAAATGGAAGAGGAAATAAATGTTTGTAATTAAATTTTACAAAAATATGACTAGTTACAAATCCAATGAATGTTAAAAACATTACTTTTTAGGGAATTTTTTTGGGGTCTTTAAGTTGGGTATAGGACCCTCATACCTGGCTCAAGAAAAGTTCCTGTTACGTAGAATCGTCACACCAAATTTCATCAAAATCGGTTCGATAGATTTTGCATAATAATTTTGCAATCCAGATTTTTAAAAAAAAATTTGCAAATTTTCAAAATTTTACACAGCAAAAACCAAGGTCCTTAGATACTTGAAAATTTAATCACATATAGAAGGGCTCTCAAGCTTTCAAACGCTTTTTGAAAAATTCGAATCCGTCAATTAGAAGAGCTCTGCCGCTTGTTTAAACATTGGTCGAATTTTTGTACTATAATTTTGTATTTTTATAATGTAATGAGTTAATTTCTCATTTGCTTATATTTTAAACAGTAAATAATATTTGAATTATACTTTCATCACAAAAGAAATGATGATTAAATTAATAATTAATTAATTAATTAATCGACATATTTTGAAAATAATAGTTGTTTAAAAATTTTAGAATATTTAAATAAATTTGTTTTTGATCTTTGATAAACAGTATATAAGTTTATGCACTTACCTTTGATACAATAAAAAATTAATTTTGATAATTAAAGGAAGATAAATAATTATCGGACTGTTGAAAGACCAATAATTATTAACGATAGGAATTTGAACATACGTTAATTGTTTTTTTAAATCGCGAGACATCGATTTAAAAAAAAATTCGATCTGTTTTTTTTTAAAGAAGCCTTTCCAATAACTTTTAAAACCTGCTTTAAAAAATTTAATTTGATTGAATATTCACAAAGTTATTCTAATTGTTTATAAGTACAAAAATTCGACCAATGTTTAAACAAGCGCCAGAGCTCTCCTAATTGACGGATTCGAATTTTTCAACAAGCGTTCGAAAGCTTGAGAGCCCTTCTATATGTGATTCAATTTTCAAGTATCTAAGGGCCTTGGGTTTTGCTGTGCAAAATTTTGAAAAATTTACTATTTTTTTTTCAAAGTCTGGATTGCAAAATTATTATGTAAAATCTATCTAATCGATTTTGATGAAATTAGGTGTGATGATTCCAGATAACATGAAGTTTTCTTGAGCCAAGTATGAAGGTTCTATACCCAACTTAAAGACCCCAAAAAAATCCCTAAAAAGTAATGTTTTTTAATCCAATTTTTGACGATTTTTTCGATTTTTACAATAATAATCATGATTCATTCGATTTGTAACTAGTCATATTTTGTAAAATTTAATTACAAACATTTTTATCCTCTTCCATTTTCGCCTAAAATCAACTCTTGAAAAGATACATAATTAAATAGGAAGAAAAATATGACACTTTTCGAATTTTTTTAACAGATTGTGCTGCCAAAAGTTAAGCCCACGTTTTGCATTTCTAGTGATATTTGAAAGCCAAAACGCCAAACCGAAACAGAAACCGCCTAGTCTAATAGCTACATACTAAATTTCAATGAAATAGATTCAGCCATTTTACGCGATTTTCAATCAAGCATCTTAGTCACACCCTGTACAACACAGTAATTTTTCAATTTATGCACTGCGATACTTGGAGCTTGTGTTTTATGTCAATACATAAAGAGCCGTATACGTGGGCGAGTAATTAAAAAAAAAACTAATCCCATAAAACCAAATAGAAACGCTTCGTTATACACAAGTATTTTTCTGACCACATATTTACTTTCTACTTTAATGCCACAGTGAAAATACTATTTCGCTCCAGCTTTTACCGAGCACTTATACAGATTCAATTTCAACGATACTCTAGTATAAATTGCGTTACATTTAATTAAATACAGTCGCTAAAATTATAATAAGATTCTCCGACGTATAATTTTCCTACTAGCGCGAATATGGAAAAATTTCATTTTTCGAAAACTCATCAAAGGTCGACATTTTTGTTAAACTTTCAATTGACAAAGTGAGTCTTTTTTGTCACCTAGCTGTAAAATACTTTTATGTTCTAGAACGCCAAAGTCTTTTTCGTTCTAGAACATAAAACAAATGTCAAAATAATTTGAAATTTTTTCGAAATTTATTTTTTAAACAATATAATATGTATATTTTAAGTATCTCCTATATATGTCTCCGCTACCGTATCAGAACGCCACCTCCATATCGTTTAATGGTGGTAATATCGGCCCCTGCGTCAGCTAATAGTGTAGCGGATGAAGAGTTTAATTACAATACATATGTAATTCTGACACTACTTTTTCAAACAACTAATTTTTATTGTTTATTAGGTTGCTATCGTTGTAATAGTCACCGCGCCTAAACCGTCTTGATTCAAACACGGTTCAAACGAATTCAAATGTCAATTAAATTGTTATAATAACACAGTTGTCTTATTTTATTGCAGTTTTCGAAAATATATTGTTTGCATCTCGAAAGCGAAATGCTTTTGCGTTCTCGAATAGATATTCCATTTTTAACGCAAAAATGCCATTTCGCGTTCTAGATGTAAAAATAACATTTCCTAAAAAAACAAGTATTTTCGCTATTTAATCGAAATTTAGTGCATAATGTTCGTTGTGTCAAAACATCATTCACTGATAACATTCTCAAATTTCTCAACTTTCATTTATTTGTTTAAATACAGGAAAAACTAGTTATAATGTTATTTTTTTTTATGACTTCCAAACTAACACCTACAAGTATTACTTAAACCTGAACATAAAATTTATCGAAAGTATCGGAAAGTAACGTCTTCTTCATGGTTACCATCATATTATTTTATTACTCTACCAATATAATCAAAAATCTTTCGTAACTACCATTAAATTTTTTAATCATTAGTATCAATTTTTAAATATATACACCTCCGTCTACTCAACCACTTGAAAATCACAACCAGATGAACAACACAGTCAATCCACTATGTGGCTAAGTGTACCCTTTACATCACAGGACTGATTGTTTCACATGGCAATCGCTTTAACGATAGTGTAAATTATTTAGGTACATATGTCAAGAGACGTGTTACAGGTCATAGTGCTATTAAGTGATTAATGACAAATAATGGACGTACCAGAAAGGGATTAGGGAGTTGGGGACTTTTGAACGCATTAATTGTAACACATGTTGCACTGTCGTTGTAGGAATTTGCGAAGGTAACTACTGATTAAAAGCCTGAAATAAAAGTTGAAGAAAGACCTTCCCAAATACAGGGTGTTCCCGTTTTAAACGTACTAACTTTAACAGTTGATGGACTATTTGATTTGATATTGAACAAAAAAGTTCACATGAACATACGTCGCTTGCGAATGCAATCATCAGTGGCGTGGTGGACGGAAAATTCGAGATCCTCTTTTTAAACAAAATATCTATGTTTGTTTTTTTAAATTTCGGGAAATTTATTGAATCGCTGATCAATTTCTAAAGAAAAACTGCACGAAACGACACAAAACTGTCATTTTACTTAGGTAACTTAAATTTGGTTTCACTATTTTTCTCAAAAGGAAACCTTTTTGCTTATGTTGACTTACGTTGTCATGTATCACTGCGGACAACCAGTATTTTCAACTTTTTTCTCATACTCTTCTTGAATTCTGCGGAAAGTCCAATTTCGTTTACGAGCCTCCCACGTCAATGTAATTCGAACTTTTTAATGTTACACAGCGGTTGAATGCCAGCGTAATTTAATTCTAATATATATTAAAGCGACAAACCCACGTTCATGCTAACTATCCTCAACAATTTCCAACTCTGAAGTTTACACATACAAATTGACCGCCGAGAGAATAGTTGTTGTTAAATTGAATTCCTAGGTATGCAAGAGTTTGACCCAGAGGTATTTTTAGACCGAGACCTTTATTACTTGGGTTCAGGTCATTACAGTTTAGTATTACTTACAGTGGCGATAATTTTTGGATAAGGGGTCACGTTTAGCTATTAAAATAGGTCTTATTCATTTTATTGCTCCGATAGTCAAGGATTCTAAAGTTTTTCGATATCATTAACTTAATCTTGTTATGACCGTAATAAAATGATATAATCAACTAGAATAATAATGAAAAACTGCGACGCTAATGCTTGGAATGATCTAGAAATGGTCTGACATAACTAAAACAAGTTTATATTATTGCCACTTTTTATTTCATGGTTTAATTCATTATTACACCATATACTTCATTGGTTCTAAAATAAAATTATTGTTATTAATACTATTGCACTGATAATGAGACCGTAGTTTTTGTTTAAATTTAAGGGTATTCTCACTGTGAATGCCATTTTATAACAATAATTTGTTCATAGTTAACTTTATTATTACGTTGAAGTGAATTAAAGAAATAAAGAATGTGATCATTCTTATATATTTATAATTATTTTCAAACCTAAAGGGTTTTCTTTTAAATTGCAACAGTTTTCAAAATTAAAGTTCAATTTCTTTAACAAAATGTAAGTTTTCCTTCCTTATCTGATCATAAGTAGAAAATAAATACTACACTTTTATACTCAAAAAGTTTGAGCAACACTCACTTTAATATCTACATAAATTACATTTTACGGAAAGTATTTCTTTCAGTGTAAGTAGTTTTAGGCACCGAACAACAAAAGCTCGTCTGACTTCCTGCATTTCCCGAGTCCTGCCCAACTGACGTTTGTTACTATTTCTCATACTTCGGTGTTTTATGTATTCTTGCTTTTATAACCCCATTAGCAACCAGGGGACAAAAACTCGGCCAGGCTAACACTTTGCCGCTTTATTATTTCAGAGCTGTTTCTACCAGGATGGTGGCGGGGATGTGGTGGTTTTTCACGCTGATAATGATATCTTCTTATACCGCCAACTTGGCGGCTTTCCTCACGGTGGAAAGGATGGATTCGCCCATTGAGAGTGCGGAGGATTTGGCGAAACAAACGAAAATTAAATACGGAGCTTACCGGGGGGGATCGACGGCAGCATTCTTTAGGGTATGTACACTGAGAAAAAGTGGTTGCTTTAAGGCTTTCACGGCCTGTTTTGATAAAGTTTGATCGGCGCCAGTCTCAGACTTACATATAGGCCAGTCAAATTGTTAAAAATATCTTGTTTTTTTTTTGTTAAAATTTTAATCCAGTAAACAAAGACATGTAAAAACTAAGAAAAATTCTGTAGAATTGAGTGAACTACTTTACCTCAACTGAATGTTATTTTTAAAATGGCGTCCAAAATTCGTAAAAAACATTCATTTAAAAAAACTAAACATTTTAGAAACAGATGTTTTAGACAACTGTGGTACAACTTCTTATAAAAAAAATTTGAGCCCAGACCGATGTCAATTGACAAACATAAGTAAATAACGCAAATAATTATAGAAAAATTAAATAGTACTAAAAGAAATATAATATTTTACTAACAATTTTAGTATAAAAAAAATTCTGTTACTTAAAACATACGATGTAAAGAATATTTCTTATATAATATTGATTTGAACTTCTTGTCCATTAAAAAACTCCACAGAAGTTGAGCGACGTTAAGATGTCTGTTGTTAAAATTTTTTATTCTTGTTTGGCAAAGCTTCGGGATTGTAATTTCGCAAAAAAAACTGTCAGCTATTCGAAGTAAATAACCATATATATAGCGTTTACTTATGTGCTTTCTTTGCCTTCTGATTTTTATACGCGATACAAAAGGGGCAACGATTTGAGATATTTCAATTTCTCATGGGAACAAGCAAATGCTGTATTGTTTCAGTGAATTCTTTACTCTCCTTTGTTGACTTTGTTGGCAGTAAATTTGAAAAGTGCAGCTGTATTGTTTTTCTCTTATTTCTACTTACCATAGTTGAGCAAATTGGTGCGCATATAAATGAGACACCTACTTAGAAGGATTGCACTTGTATTTAAAAATGTTTTTTAATTTTTTTATTTCTTATGAAAAATTTCACAAGTGTAATATATAGTGAATTATTCTATCGAATTTTAAATACTTTATGTACTACACACTGCCAATTTTACATGCTGTTATAACTCGCATGTGAATGAGTCTATACATTTTGAGAACCACTGAGAGTTGTAGTTTTTAACAGAGTTATATTTAGTTCACTCCTCTAGACATGATTTCAATTATTTCAAAAAGTTATACAAAAGGGTATTTCATTGTTTTTTCATGTTATTGTCTAAAAAATTAGATTTGTGTACCACCGGTAACACAGATATATTATTCCGTATTCGTAAATTCTGTAGTAAAGTCAGGAGCTTAAAAATCGTGCATATTTATTTCAAATATAACTAATTTTTGGCAAAAAACTATTATTTACTTGTTTTTCACAGTAAACTCTTTGCTGTTTAAAATATACGTACATATTTAATATTCACCCTGTGTACGACCACGGTAACTATTGATTGAACCAATATTGACTTATTTCTCCCAGGATTCGAATTTTTCCACATACCAAAGAATGTGGGCATTCATGGAGTCGCAAAGGCCGTCCGTCTTTACTTCTAGCAATCAGGAGGGGGTGGAACAAGTCGTCAAGGGCAAGGGCAGCTACGCGTTCCTCATGGAATCCACATCCATCGAGTACGTAATCGAGAGGAATTGCGAGCTGACGCAAATCGGTGGTTTGTTGGATTCCAAGGGATACGGCATTGCCATGCCGCCTAGTAAGTAGTTTGTGAAAAGCAACACAATTATTGAAATTAAATTGCTTTTTATAACGCATCAGTTTTTTTTAAACACAACAACTCGTTGCGAGCTATAGAATATAGAAAAAATGCAAATGGAAAGGCGATAAAAGTATAGACATTTACCTGAATCATTAATTAATAGATGAGAGAAAGAAAAAAATAGGTTACCGCACATTTCACAGACAAATAAATTATCAAACATACAAATGTCTGATTTCGTCTGCCAAGTAATAAACGCGAAGGAGTAACGGCAACAGCGGAATAAAGTACGAATGAGCATAGGTAGCGGGAAATTTAAATAAACCTTTCGATACATAAATTAGTCATTAGAAATGGATTACATTCAACTTGTGATTATTTGTGTAATTCAATTTGCAATAATAAAATAAAATGGGATATTTTCAAATGAAGTATGTTTTTGAAGTCTTTTTTTTTATTTATAAAATACGATAAACTTTTAATACAAGAAATAAAAAATACAGGAGCATATAACCGAAATATTTATGCTTTGTATCACAGCGCATATAACAATATTATGCATTTTAATAAATTATGATACTTTTAATATCATTTTTAATTTTAAAATTAACATTTCAAAAATGTCAGTATATTTTTAGAATATTTTTGGCTGCAATAACATCGTGTCATATATCAAATTGTATTATACTTCACAAATGCGATCGATTTAAACCCTTGTCTTATAAGGAACATTTGTATTCATAGAAGTTCATCATATGCATGTAACTAAATCATATTTAAACTTTTCCACGCGAATCACTTCATGATCAGTTTGTAGATAATCTAAAATACGTAAAAGTTCTTTGTAAAAAGAGCAGTGCATGCTTTGTGCCATATATTTTTATGTGGATTAATTAATGCCCTCGAACGGTGTGCGGAGGTTCTGGCTCCACAATCTTCTCTTCACCAGCTTTTTTCTCGCTTTTGCTATTTTCTGTTCTAATTCTCAAGCACTCATACTTTCTTTTGGTCACAAATTTTCCTTTCTACCGGCTCTCTTCTTCACCTGACATTTTATAGGTTAAAGCAATTAGCTGTGCGAGCGATCACATAGCATTGCATACCTGTATAGATGACAAGGACTGCCAATTTACGAATAATAAACTCAGCATACTCGTGTGCTGTTGTCAAGTTTCCTTTACAACTTTTGGCATTTATTCATTCATATTGGGTAAAGAATAATATTTGAAAGATGGAAATATATATTTTAAACTCGAATTTATTCAATATCTGCAAGAGAGTATTTCAATCTACTTACTTTCCCGATCATCGTTAAAACATATCCTGTGTACCAAGGAAATAATCAATGCATTTACCATTTGAAAGTTAAATTTTCGTTCACTGGCTGTTATTTAAATCATTATATTATTGATGTAGTCCTCTTCTTTATAAGGTTTAATAATAAAACAAACTTCAAAATGCATCGTTATATCTATTGAATCCTCAAAGTAATTGTGGCTTTCATATTCTCGTAATCTTCCTGAAATCGTGCTTAAAATCCTTACTGCAATAGTTCCCCAAAGACAAATTTACAATTCTGCTGAGGGAATAACGAGTAATGAACCGTGATTTGAGACGATTCTTCTGATATATCCAACAGATATTTTGCTCTATTTTCAACGGAAAAAGCAAAGAAGAATTTCTTGAGGAAATTAACGTTATATTCTTGTTAATTTAAAAAAATATATTGATTTAGGTGAAAGAAGTCTGCATATTATTAACATACGTTTTGTGTATTTTAATTTTGAAACATATGAAAAGCTGTTTAATGTTTGCAAACTTCGTATGACATTTATTTCCGTCACCAACATTTTTGATTCGCAAAAACACTCTCCAATTTGCGAGATTAACTTCAATGTGACAATTTCCAGTAATAAAAAAAATATCGGATACGCGTAACCCCCCCCCCATAAGCTCTATTTTCGTCCGGCCATTAAATCTACCGAATTATTATTGCCCAAAACGGCGGCAAATGAAATACTGCCGCAATACGCTTAACGAATTTTTAATCGGTTCCGATAAAATTTCAGATTCCCCTTTCCGAACTGCCATTAGCGGGGCTATTCTGAAACTCCAGGAAGAGGGCAAGCTGCACATACTAAAGACCAGGTGGTGGAAGGAGAAGCGTGGTGGAGGAAAATGCAGGGTGAGTACGTTCAGAATCACCGTGCTGGGAATAGTCTGTATTCATTTAAACGAAACTGTTGAAAACAAATAGACATACAAAGTTTTTCTGATTAAGACTTCTTGTACAGAATGTCCCAAATTTGCAGTATTTCACCGCTACACTAAAAATGAATGAAATGTATTTTTTACCTAAAGTATTTTCAAAATAATATTTTGATGTAATAGTCCACAGTACAGGCCCCCCCTGGAAAGTTGATTACCACATACTTTATAACTCCTGAGGAGCTTCGTTTTGACGAGTCTACCACATTTTTCATCTGCGACTTTTCTCGATTCCTCCGCTTTTCCACTCGGAAAAGTCCAAAAACATGGCAATTTCCCGGGGTCTTGAAAACTCAAGACCACATCTTTTATTTTTAGCTTAAGTAACTGGAAATTTTGTTGCAAATGCCGATTTAAATTTGTCCGACAGAAATTCCTCCGACATTGACGTGTCTACCGGTCGAAACATGCCAAAATAACAGGGTATTGAAAATCAATTACCACATAGGTAATTTTTAGTAAAATTAATTGTAAATAATTAATTCAGTCAAAAAGTATTGTTGTCCGACAAATTTCAAGCCGCGTTTTTTCAGTCCGACAGCTGGAAATCGGAATTTTCACGGGGTATGAAAAATCGATTACCACATATCTAATTTTCATTTTTTCCACTTTTAAATTTACTGTACAAAATAGTGATATAAGTGTCCGACGATTTAATGTCCGCAAATTATTAAAAAATCAATAAATCAATAAACGTGATGAAATTTAATTTTTTCACTCCAAAAATTTCATATTTATAAATGGTTATTAATTATTATTATGTAAATTATTATTTGTTTCAAATAAATAATTATAATATTGCTTATTTTATGCTTAAAAATTTAAAAGTTATAAACAAATGAAGTTATTTTTGAGGCGATTAATACGATCTTAGTGCATAATGCATTATTTCTAAATAAATTAATATTATACTTGATATAAAAATCCTTTTTTCTCTTTCAAGTTTTCATTCGCGTTTGTTATTTTTCTTTACAAAAATTTTCCTATTTTTCTAAAAGAAAATCCCAAAACTTTTGTGCATAATTTTTTTACACCATACATACTTTTTTGAAATCGTTTAATTCTTTTCTCGATATTTATTTGGCTAAATTGAGCATATAGAGATTTACAATTACAAGAATAAAACGAAAAATATATACAGGGTGTTTCAGAAAGACCTCCCGTAAATAAAGAGGGTGATAGTATGATAAAAAATGAGAATTTTTTGTCTTATGAACTCTATGTCTATCTCCTCTTGTTTTCGAGATACAGAGAGACAAAATAAAATTTTTTAAATAACATTTTTATGAAAATTTCCAAATGGTGCGAAATATTTTTATGAAATTTGGTAGTCCGAGGTTTTTAAGGGTGCCAAATACGCTAGTCTAATTATTTTTTGTATATTTCATAGAGAGCGCTAGTTATGCTACATTCTTATTACAATTTAAGTTATATTTTTTTTAAGGTTAGGTTTTTTACCAGTCGGGCTCCAATTTCTATTGTACAATTTTATTTTCTAAAAATAATGTACTCTTGTTAGAACTTCCTAATGTGGACGATTTTCGAGAAAAAAGGCTTTTAATTAAACTCTTACAATATTACACTATAAAATAAGTGACTTTTCTCAAAGTAAGCTTGAGCTTTGAGAAGAGGAGATAGACATATAGTTCATATGACAAAAAATTCTTATTTTTTGTCGTCCTCACCCCCTGTATTTACGGGAGGTCTTTCTGAAACACCCTGTATTGTATATTTATATGGAATTTTGCTTAATACATGAAAATACCTTATTAGAAATTATAAATACATGTGCACATTTTTTACGAAATTTTTTTCATCTTTTTTTGTCGGACTGACGATTTGCGGATATATTTTTGTCGGACATTACAATTTTTGCTTATAAAAAACACTTTTCTATCGTGTGTTATTTTTGTCCGACATGTGGTAATCGATTTATCATACCCCGTGAAAATTCCGATTTCCAGATGTCGGACTGAAAAAACGCGGCTTGAAATTTGTCGGACAACAATACTTTTTGACTGAATTAATTATTTACAATTAATTTTACTAAAAATTACCTATGTGGTAATTGATTTTCAATACCCTGTCATTTTGGCATGTTTCGACCGGTAGACACGTCAATGTTGGAGGAATTTCTGTCGGACAAATTTAAATCGGCATTTGCAACAAAATTTCCAATTACTTAAGCTAAAAATAAAAGATGTGGTCTTGAGTTTTCAAGACCCCGGGAAATTGCCATGTTTTTGGACTATTCGGAGTGGAAAAGCGGAGGAATCGAGAAAAGTCGCAGAGGAAAAATGTGGTAGACTCGTCAAAACGAAGCACCTCAGGAGTTATAAAGTATGTGGTAATCAACTTTCCAGAGGGGGTCTGTACTGTGGACTATAAGTACTCCACCCTTAGGGTGGGAGGAGGACATGGAGAAAAATTTTACATAAATATTGCTCCAACTTTGTCATAGGTATGTGGAATTTTGTTTCAGGACGAGACTACTAAGACGAGCAGCACCGCCAACGAACTGGGCCTGGCCAACGTCGGCGGCGTCTTCGTGGTGCTGATGGGCGGCATGGGCGTAGCTTGTGTGATCGCAGTGTGCGAATTTGTTTGGAAATCACGGAAGGTAGCCGTGGAAGAACGGGTGAGCAGCATTCTACACGACACGTAGCTATAAGAGAAACCCTAGCCGTAGGTAGTTTTGTACGTAATAGTCGATAAGGTGTAGCATATGTCTGTATATATTTTGGAAATAAAAAGATGTGTTAACTATTGATATTGATATTTATGTCATATTATCCATTTGAAATAGGAAGTTACTTAGTATTAAAAAAAATTATGGGGTCAGTACTTCGTAGCTTCGTTTTGATCCAGTCTTTAACGAATTCTAGAACATCTGCTCATGCGCGTTTGCTATAAACGTTTTACAGCCGTATGCACAGTGGATCGCCAGCGACTCGCCGAAGTTAAACCTGGCGAATCTCTGGCGAGTCGCTGGCGAAAGAGCGGCGCGTAGTTTCTATTGCATAGACGTTCGCCCGGCGATCTCCGCTTTGGCGAATCGCCAGATGAGTGATAGTCTCAACTACAGGCGCTTAAGCATGCGCAATGCTATTTTACACCGAATACGTACCGTTCTAACCTGAATTTGTGCATGGTATGGTACTTTGAAATGTATTACTTTGAGCATCTCTGGTATATAGTTGTTTGTATCACATAAATTATTGTCAAAGCATAATAATTATCTAAAGGGTTGTAGCGGTAGTAAAAGACTAAATAAAATTTTCCTTTTCGGCGTTAATAGCAGTTGTTAGTATAGTAAGCTGTTGTTATTATGTTATTATTGTAAAATGTCTCAAGTAATTTGTTTATTAGGGTACACTAGGAACTGGAAAGCCATATTTATGAAATATTTAAGTAATTTTTTATTAAGGTATAGTAGAGTCGTTTTTTCAATTACATGACTAACAGTAATCAGATTGTATACTCTTAAAACTCCACATATTATCTACAAATAATTATAATAGGTACATCAACGTACATCTTGTTTAAAATATTTCAAGGTACAATCTGTTTTACTTTACAATTTACAATAACGATTACAATTTCAATATACTCACAAACGGTGACCAAAAATGAAACCTAATATTCTTTGGTGAATTTTAAGGGGAGTCTTTCGTTTTTATCTAGGACGCTTCGTTAAAAAGATACAGGGTGTTAAAATATTTTAAAGTTTTTTAAATAATATAAAAACTAGTAACTAAAATAATTTGAAACTGAGCACATGTATTTATGTAAATATTATCCAAAATCTGAGGCCTTTTTCTAAAATTTAGATGCTCCAGTATGCCAGTACTTTATGGTAACAATCATGATATATTCGGATTCGTCTTTCAATTTTCTACAAATTACTACATCCTCATGTTTTTCGAAAAAAGCCTGATTTTCGAGTAAAACTTAAAAAACGAACTGAAAACACTTTTACTTAAATAACATGCAAACATTAATCATTCGGTCATTTAATGGAATAAAGAAATTAATAACATTAATAATGATTTTAATGATTTTATTTGAGTAAATGCTCAAAAATACCTCCATTTCCACGAACACATGCGTGACACCTTTTTAGTAACGAAAATGTAATTTGTTCGAAATTTATTATTGTTTGAATATGATGAAAAGCAATATTTATTCTTTTTTCGAATTGCTCAGAATCCCAAAGTTGTTATTGCAGCCTATTATGTAATTTTAAATCGAATTTTATTCGAATATCGAAGTGTGTTTCAGTTCGATTTTTAAGTTTTACTCGAAAATCAGACTTTTTTTCGAAAAACATAAGAATTAGTAGAAAATTGATAGATGAATTCGATGAATATCATGACTGATGATCATAAAGCAGTGGCGTACTATTTAATTTAGAAAAGTATGCCACCGACACCCTGTATCTCCGGCACTAGAGCATCTAAATTTTCGGAAAAAGCCTCCGATTTTGGACAATGTTTACATAAATATATGTGCTCAATTTCAAATTATTTCAGTTACTACTTTTTAAATTATTTTAAAAAAATTAAAATATTTTTATTAAGTTTAACACCCTGTATCTTTTAAACAAAGCGTCGTAAATAAAAACTTTATACGATAGACTTCCCTTAAAATTCACCAAAGAATACTAGTTTTCAATTTTGGTCACCGTTTGTGAATCACCCTGTACAGGTGTGAGTATATCTAAATCAGAAATATCTCTGTTTGCGTTATACAACATGTTAAAATCACGATCCATTATTGGAACAATCTCAAAAACACAATAAAAATAGGTTACTTGCTTTTTGGAGAAACGCTGGAGATGCTACAGGCAATCTCCGGCGATTCTCCGGCGGTTCGCCATAAGTTTCACTAATGCGCATGCTTGACTTGGCTGGCGAGCGACTGTGCATTGAAAATCTCGTCCGGCGAACGGCGAATCTTTGGCGAGTCGCTGGCGATCGACTGCATACGGGCATTTTAGTAACAGAATTTGTCACAGTTCGTGGACCGTTCAAGTTTAGCAGAAGATGAAAGCAGTCTTACAACTAATTTTAATATCCTAAATGTTACACTGCATCGTCAAAAAATAAATTAAAGGATGCAGAAATCAGTACTTGTTGCTACAGACAGTGTTTTCGTTTTTCAGGAGTTCCGAATTGTTTCAGAATATAATTTACAACGCATAAAGTTTTGCGTTAATTCAAAATTAAACTCGGTTATTTCTCGATTTCAAAATTTCTTCATGGGTGTTCTGCTCTTGATCAAGAGCTTCATCCACATTTATCAAAAAAATTCTATCACAATCTTACAAGAGTAAATATAATTTTTTTATAAGGAATCCAGTTCCCGAGAAGTTCCAAGATATTGATATAGTTATTTCGCTAGTCCAAAATATTGCAATTTTTAATGATATGTTACATTTTTTCGTCAACATTAATACATTCACTAATTGGTATTTTTGTCACTTTATGATTGCCATAATATTTTACGGACGCAAGTACTTCATGGACGCCAATAGCCACGAGTGTTTTCAAGGTCACATATTTCAAATGTATGATATAATATGACATTTAAATGAGATTCCGCTTTCGGATATGAATTCGTAAAACCATTTATAGCAAGGTCGACGGAAATTACATTTTTTTTTTTATAATCATCATAAGTAGGTATATTTTTCTTGTTCAAATCTTTTATTTACGATTAACCATTAAGTAAATATTATTATAACTTTTACAACACTTTGGGCACATACAAAAAATGAGAATAGTATTTCAAATATTCTTTGAATGTTGAACAATTAAACTAAATTCGTCACATATCAAACTTTCTAATATTGTTTAGTACCTCTTGCAATACACGAGATTTTTTCAAACCTGTCTTGTTCCAGTCAGTGTTAACACATTTTTCTATTCATGACTTATCTAATTTTGGAATCATTGATTTGGTAATTCTTACCTGAAAAATAATAGCTCAATTTTAAATTAAAAAAATGTACATATAGTGTTCTATATTTTAATATTGTTAAAAAACTTTTTGTTTGTAGAATATCAAAGCTGAATGGCACTTGAAACTCGATACTACTATTTACGTTTGTTTAGGGCTGTTCTTCAAGTACTACACAGATTTGATATGAGTTTTTTGTTTTTGTTAGGAACAATCAAAACGTAAACGGATTGTAAATATGAGCTTCGACCCGATGGGTCTCCAGATTTTTGTTTTATTTACTGAATGGTTTTCAGAACGAATTTACTGACAATATCACGAAAAAATCAATCTCATTGTCACAATCACGTAGTACGTTGTATATCATTAAGAATATGAATTTATAATGAATGTTGAATGTATGAAATGTATATTTAGGATTTGGATAGAAAACTATCTAAGTTTATTTTGTACTGTTCGTGCTTTCGTTATTTTTGGAATAAACAGGAGGTAAGTAGTTTTTTATTTGTTTCACATTAAGTTGACCACTATTCATACAGTCCATTTCATTTTTCTGTAGATTTTCCGCATATTTCCAATTATTTTGCAATACACGCACAATTTGCACAGGAAAGTACAACTATCAGAGAAAATTTTTAGCCCAAGATGGGTCACGTAAGTGCATTGTATGATTTATTGAAACTTGAAAAATAAAATATTTTTTTCAAAAAACTTAATTTGTGCAAAATCTAACAATTATTTTTCAATTTTAAAAAAATGCACTTATTCTACTTGTTAAGGAAACTGAAAGTTTCGTAAAAAAAATTAGTTCATTTTAAAAATATAGAAGTTTTAAAAGAATGCGATTTTTAGTTGTTTTTTTGCAATAACTAATACACTTGTTTATCACTTGACATCAGGCTGAGCTCAAAGTTTTTATTAAAAAAGTTCCACAACGTTTGCCTAAAACATTTTCTTCTAAAATGTTTAGTTTTTTTTAAATGAAAAAACAAAACAGTTTTTTGCGCACTTTGAACGCCATTTTGAAAATAAACCCCAAATAATCAAGTGGGGTAAAGTAGATGATTCATTTCTACGTAATTTTTCCTTATTTTTACGCGTGTTTGTGTACTGAACTAAATTTTTGCACGTAAAAATCTAATATGATTGGACTAGTGCATATTGCATACCGAACTAACGACATTCCAATTTTTTTCAGTCGTCTCTGTGCGCTGAAATGGCGACCGAATTCAGGCACGCTCTGTGTTGCCAGGGCCCCACGAAGCCAATAAAAAAAAAGAACCGCTCCCCGAGTTCGGTGGGTGGCGAAGACGGGAGATTTCATCCCCCTGGGTCGTACACGTCCTACGGTTTTGTGAGCAAAGAACCCCTCAGTTAAGATGCCACGATATATCCTACGAGAATGGAAAGCTTCCTCGTCATTAAGTGAATAATAATATGCCGGTCTTTCTCCCGCACAAGTTCTTACGATTACAATAAGGGGTCGAGATTTGTCGTTGAGTACATATTTATTTTTTCAAAAGTTGTCTATTGATGCGTTAGCAATGAAATTTGTGATAAGTAAATTAGTAGTAAAATTGTTTTAAAATGTTTATTATGTACGTCACTGCTAGATCCCTGCTGAATTGTTCGGGCGGAAAAATATAAAATTCTAAATATAGAAATGTCATTTAAAATTAAGAGAAAATTATGTTTTCAAAAGGAATATCTCCATTCTCTGCTTTGTGCTAAATATACGGAATATAAATATATCATAATTATATACATTTCATTGTGATTTGTGTGATATTGAAGACGTACAAATTATTTTCATTAGTAACTACATTTAGTTAACTTATGAGAAATATAGTTGAATTATAAAAAGAAATGAAAATCTTATATACAGAATGTGTTAAATTCGAATGTGATATTTTTATTTTTCTCTTCTTTTACTTGTATAAAACACCCTTGATACATAAATAACTATTTTCTACTATTACGCATTAAACACTATTATTACTAAAATTTAAATATAAAAATTATCTCCTAAATTATAGGTACACTTATTAATTATTTTTTAAAAATTTGCATTTAACAAATCCTTATATAAAAGTATCATATGCAAAATTTAATGCACTCACCACATCATTTTTATTTCAATCTTCAAAACAATTTCCGCGATATGTAGATATATGTATTTTTGATTTGGATGATTTGAGTTAAAATCAAACATATCATATATTCTCTACATCTTTACTCGCAAATTGACGATGGACCATCAACACACTTGTCTATTCTAGTTACAGAAGTTATCTTATTAGTTATTTATGGTTTTAAAATATAATTTTAATGGTTTAAACATTCAGACATCTTAGAATCGTATTCACGTTTGAACCATCATCGATCAACGTTTTTCTTGATTGTGTCAATATGGCTCAGTAAGGTAATTTCGGGTCTACCTCGTATATAGTTAGAAACTTTTCCTAATAATAGAATATATCGTAGCATCGTTAAAGCTAGAGGGATAGATTATATTTTTTAATCGTTTCGATTGTAAATGTAACAATTTACGATGAAAACTGCCAAGAGAAAGTAAATACGGCCTGATTTTTATTTTATACTTTTATTTTATAGACCAGTGCTTAAGCCTTCAAAAACGGTAAAAAGTGAAAAAAAATTATAGTAGGATGAAACCCATTGGAAAAGGAAGAGAATATAATAGAAATGAAAAGAAAAATAATTTACGGGCGATCTGAGGTCGGGAAGGGGAAGGGGGTGAGTTTTTAAGGGTAAAAAACGGTTTATCTTGATTTCCGAAAAAACTACAAGTCTTATGGAAAAAAGTTAAATGGCAAAGTTGTAGGTAATAAAAAGATCTACAACTTTTGTATTTACACTTTTTTCACATAACCTCAAAATTTATGTGAAAAATAACCAAGTTTTTGGTTTTTTATTTTTATCTTTTACAAACAAATTTTTTTTTCACGAAATTTGGTGAAAACTTACCTATTTATGTCCCAAACACGCTGTAATTTTTTTGATTTGAAATATTTATTTTTTCACCTTATTTTTATTTAATATCGAAAAAGCACCCTAATTTTCAATCGAAAATTCTCACGTCAAAATATCTGCTTTTTTAAAAACGTCGGTGGGCTTTTTCTTCGTTGAAATCTCTACTTTCTGATGGTGTAAACAAATATATACATTACTATGGTAAGTTTTCTAAGGAAATGCAAAGAAACGAACTAGAATCCGAAAATTTTTTTCTAATCATTATGTACAATTTTGAGCTGTTTATTAAAATTTACACTTTAATTACTCGAAAAACGTAAGATTCCATGTTACATTGATAAACAACAAAAATACAAGTCGAAATATACTATTATAATTAACAACCAAATAAGTTAATAAAGTTAATATTTAATAAGACATCTACAATATTTTGAGAAAGTTGTAGAATCTTCTTTCGTTTCTTTGCATTTCCTGAGAAAACTTACTATAGTAATGTATATTTTTTTACACCATCAGAAAGTAGAGATTTCAACGAAGAAAAAGCTCACCGACGTTTTTAAAAAAGCAGATATTTTGACGTGAGAATTTTCAATTGAAAATTAGGATGCTTTTTCGATATTAAGTAAAAATAAGGTGAAAAAATAAATATTTCAAATAAAAAAAAATTACAGCGTATTTGGGGCATAACTAGGTAAGTTTTCACCAAATTTCGTGAAAAATTTTTTATTTGTAAAAGAAATAAAAAACCAAAAACTTGGTTATTACAATATTTCACATAAATTTTGAGGTTATGTGAAAAAAGTGTAAATACAAAAGTTGTAGATCTTTTTATTACCTACAACTTTGTTATTAACTTTTTTCCATAAGACTTGTAGTTTTTCTGGAAATCAAGGGAAACCGTTTTTTACCCTTAAAAACTCACCCCCTACCCCTTCCCGACCTCAGATCGCCCGTAAATTATTTTTCCTTTCATTTCTGTTATATTCTCTTTCTTTTCCAATGGGTTTCATCCTACTATAATTTTTTTTGGTTTCAAAAATTATCGACCCTGGTCTATTAATATATTGTGGTAGGTAGAAGAAATTTGTTTGTTAATTAAAGCAGAAACAAATGTACAAACATACCGTCGTATATGAAAATTAAGCTATTTGTTCGTTTATATTCATATTGTTTTTAACTATATAAAAATATAAAGAAATATCGATCTGTATGAATATGAAAATTGAGTTTGTTTGGTTTTATGCAGAATTTCATACTACCTACTCTTACAAAAAATAATGCATTGTCTTTGAATACACAAAATTAGTCTAGAACATAGGAGACATGTTCTTTTTCCTTCTGACAATAATAGTTTATTCTAGGGTTCATCCGAGGTTACTAAATTTATTATGTTTTGCAAATTTTCCCCTGGAAATTTTCATGAATTCAACTCACTGGCTTTAGAATTACATTTAATAAAAATATTAATAAAAAATTCTAGCTCATATTTTGTTGATATTCAAGGAAAATACATTTTTTATACAACATAGAGTGACAATTTTAAAAATTTTATATGATATTAACTGAAAAAAATGTATATGTTACATAATATCTAATAACATTAACTTATTTTTGTTGTAATGAATATTTATACACGTACATTTGCACTGTTATTCTGTTATTAGATAATATCATGTATACATGTTTGCCCATAAATAAATTTATTTTCCGACTTTTATAAGTTACATACTTTTACATATTTTCACAGTTAGATATATTCACCCTTTATGTGCTCATGGTGTTCTGAGAAAGCCACGTGCAATTATATCTTCAGTGAATCAAATGTTTAGAGTTTTTGTCTCTTATTTATTAATGTGATTCTAATATTTAAAACCTGTAGCTATTTAAATCTCCAATAATGATAATGATTAAATACAAAACGTGGGTATACATACAAATAAAATGTGGTTTCGCTAAAGATAGTCCAAGTAAAAAAGTTTAATTACACGCTATCGCATTTGGCATTCTCAGAGGATTTCTTTAAAACCGCTTTGTGCAAAAGTCATATTCATATATCATCCTTACGTATAAGCAGCATTATCAAAATAAATTATTCTACTTGTTTTTATAGCTGGATGTGTTTTTTTATTATCCCAGATCCGTTTTTAGTTAAATGGAAACAATTTGCGATCCGTAATATCAAAGTTGAACGATTATTGGCGTAATAAAATATTATGGGCGATGATTATTTAATCTAAAAATTAGATTCAAGGTTATTTCTTTAAGAATGAAAGGAAAGTTATCAGTCTGCTTATTTAGCGGCTCTTTCTTCTGTCACAGAAAGTATACAGTGATAGTACGTTTGTTTTTGCCGCAAATGTCGCAGTGTTAAGTTATAATTCCTTTATAACGAGCGTTCAAATAAAAACGTGGTCAAGTTGGTTCTGAAAATTTGGACGTAGGGCGTAGCGTATAGTAAATGTACTTAAACGTCATCTGTCAAAGCGCTATATCGCCGCTATCAATTGGAATATTTTCGTTTTAAAAAGCGTTTAAAATGGTGTTTTCTCAAGAACAAAAAGTGTTGATCATAGAGCCCTACTTTAGAAATGGACGCAAGATTGATGGAATATGGAAGTATTCTATTGAGGAATGTTTCATAGAATTTCAAAATCAATTTCCCGGCGTTGTTGAGTACAAAATTTTTGCAGAAAGTGCAGTTCAGCGTTGTGTTAATGTTTTTCGTGAAACGGGCAGTGTAACAAGAAAAGAAGGAAGCGGCCGACCTAAAAAGCGGACTGAAGAATTAAAAGAAAATGTCCAACAAATAATGGAAAATGCGCCAAGAACTTCTGTACGTGTTTTATCACAAATGGTGGGAGTATCAGTCGGTACCTGCCACACAGTGTTAAAAAAGATTTGCGTTTGTTCTCCTATCGTTTAACTTGTCGGCAAGAACTTCATGAAGTTGATTTTCCGCACCACCGACCACGTTTTTATTTGAACGCTCGTTATATTTTCAAATTGAAATTTGAAAGAAATTTACAAAAAAATTATAAAAAAAATAAATTTAGAATTAGAAATTAAAAAAGACTGTCAAAATGAAAATTAATGAGTTCTCCTAAAACAGTGGGCAATGTCAACAACAACCGTCTTTTCCTGTATATATGTAATGACTGGACAGTCATTGCTTAGTCATTTATTTCTATCATATGCATTTTTTCTGGTACTCCTTGCACCAGTTACAAAACGGTGAATAAAATATATATTTTCCGTAATGGCTGCAACCCAAACAAAGTTACGGGTTTTTAAAGTAACAATAAATAAATTCTGATCAGCAAAATAGAAATTTATTGACCGGTTTTCAACAAGGTTTCCATATATAAAGACCGAATAATGCTTTTGCTCTTGGTAGTACGTGATATATTGAAGAAGTAAAAGAGTGCAATGTATTCTAAGAGTTTGACAATTGTTTTTGTGTACATTTCAATAGTATATTCAAAACGTCTGTCATTTCGTAAGTGCTTATAATCTAGCGGATTAAAAAAGTATGTTAGAAACTATTACAATTAACTATTGTTGGTTAAAATTACCCTCTCCCTCTATTGGCATTTACTGAAAACAGTTTTTTGTACGAGTATAATATACATATTATATTTCTCGCGATTTTTTCTTTTCTAATGAAAATCTAAATATTGGTTTAAAAATACAGAATTTTATATCAGTATCAACCATAACTCATATAAAAGCATATTTTACCTCGAGATGGAGAAACTATAAAGAACTTGATTTTATTAACTAAGAAGCTGTTCGATTCAAGGTTGACTGCCGCCAGAATTATTGTTTTAAATAAGCATTAATGCAAATGTGTCAACTATTTGGTTTTCATTGACGTTTCGTTTTACGCATCTTGAAAGATATATTGTCATCCAATTTATTCAAAACAGTACACCGTTTAGAAATCGCCCACCATCTTTTAGTTAGACATTAGATTATTTTTCTTATGTTAATGTCATTATGCCTATTCAACTGCAAGAGTATTTGTCCAAAATTAATTATTCCAGTAAATTTTGGGGTATTTTTGTGCACAGAAACTTTAGTACTATTTTTCTCAACAACGGAAAAGCTTTGGATACATGTAATAAACTTGTTTGAGCACAATAATTAATTATTTCCCTATTACACTGTATGTAAGTTCTTCCACTATTTATTTATTTTTTTTTTATAAGTGGTTAGTATCTCCCCATTTCCTCTAACATATTCATCCAAATTGTGTTGAATTGCAGCCTCTTATATCAAAAGATGCTCTCCTAGCGTCTCAGACTTTGACGATTGTTGCCTCCGAAATGGAAAAGAGGCAATTCTTCACCTGGAGAAGGGTGACAGGAATTATGACATTCCCAACATGTTACCTATGATAGTTCCATCTATTTCTGTAGAAACTGGTCCTGACTTTTCTCTTCTTTTGACAAACCTGCTCATCTATGGATTAGAGACTGCAGATTTGAAACAGTTGAAGTAAGTTCAGAAGACACGCACAAACTGACTATTGACTAGGTGTTTGAGAAGCTACTAAAAACTATTTGTTTTAGATTTGATTTAAAAAAGAAAAAGATATCCGGGCAACTATTTCTGGAAGGAATAGAAATTGAAGGAAAATATGATGTTAATGGAAAGATTCTGGTGATTCCCATTCAGGGAAGTGGGGTTATTAATGTCACAACAGGTAAAATTTTTTATCGCCAACCGCTAATAGAGCCTTAAAATAGCGATTTCCGGAAGTAAACAAACACACTGTTTTTTACTGTGAAAATCAAGCATTTTACCTGACGTAAATATTTATCAACATAGCCATTACTGTATGATATTAATCAGAAATCGTTTGTCGCTGTCACAGCTCCATAGACCTAGCAGTTTATAAGGTTTATAAGGACAGGATAAATGCCATCTTCTCTAAATGACAGAAATTTTAAAAAGCGTCTTTGAACAGTTTCAATATTATAAATTTGATACTGATAAATGGGGAACCAGATTATCGAACCATACTCAAGTTTGCTCCTAACTACTGCGTAATACATTTTTAAAGTATTGATATTTCTAAAATCTTTACAATTTCTTAACATAAAGCCTAAGTTTTTATTAGCATTAGTTACTAGTCGATTGATTTGGGTAACAAATGAAAAATTTGTACATATACTATATACGTACGTATATATAAGTATTTACCCTAAAATTATTGTTAAGTTAAATCAAACGAAGAAGGATCTAACAAGGAAACTACCCCAACCCGAACTCTACGATTTCCCATATTTTTATATATGTTGTAGACTCGGTTGTAGAACATGAAAAATATACACGATATATTTATTTTGTCGGCGGAAAAACATATTTAGGGGGTGAAATACATCCTCAAAGTTCGCCCCCCAAAACAGTTTTTTCTAAATATCTGGGGTTCTAATTAATATTTTGGAATGAAAAAAAAATGTAAATTGCTTCTGATAAAAAAACAAATGTTTCACATTAGATTCCGTGTTTGGAGGCTGCTACCCTTATTTTTTATTTCAGAAAAACTATATTTTTCAAACATTTTTTATATATAAAAAAATCATATTTGTTAAAAAAAATAAAAAATATGATTTATGTAAACAAATTGACAAAATAAAGTTCTCTTTTTAGTTCTCAGTATGCTAAAAATGTCTGTACGATTAGAATTAACATTGCAAAATAAAAAGTTTTCACTTTTTCCCTAATCATACGAATAATTTGATTTATTAGCCGCAAACAGATTTAAACGGATGCAAACTACCCCTCATGTTCACCCCCAAAACATTTCTGTGACATCTCAATATTTTGAAATGAAATAAAATGGAAATTACTTCTTTTAAAAAAATAAAATGTTTCACAAGTGATTTCGTGTTTGGGGGTTGCAACCCTTATTTTTTATTTCAGGAAAACTAATTATATTTCTTATATATAAAAAATTCATATTGATTCAAAATATTAAAAATATGATTTATGTAAACAAATTGACAAAAATAATTTCTCATTTTAGGGGGCGAACAACCCCCTAGTAATCCCCTAGTATGCGAAAAGTGTCTTAACTTTTTCTCTAGTTATACGAATAAGTTTTTCTCTTGCTCTAAAACGGATTTAAACAGATGCAAACTACCCCTGATGTTCACCCCCCAAAAACAGTATATCCGTGATATCTCGGGTTCTAATAAATATTTTAGAATGAAACAAAATGGAAATTACCGAACCCGTTTTTGAGGGATGAACAGCTGAGGTGGTTTATGCACAGCAGGGGTAGTTTGCATCAGTTTATATCCGTTTTAGACCAATACAAAAAATTATTTATGCAATATCTGTTTTTTTTTTTATAAGAAATAATTTCCATTTCATTTCATTCCAAAATATTGATTAGAACCCGAGATGTCACAGAAATACTGTTTTTGGGGGGTGAACATGAGAGATAGTTTGCATCCGTTTAAATCCGTTTGAGGCTAATAGAACAAATTATTTGTATGATTAGAGAAAATGTAAAAACTTTATTTTGCAATGCTAATTCTAATCGTATAGACATTTTTCGCTCACTAGGGGGTTGTTCGAGAACTTAATTTTGCCAATTTGCTTACATAAGTTATATTTTTAATTTTTTTTTAACAAATATGAATTTTTTATATACAAAAAATGTTTGAAAAATATAGTTTTTTGAAATAAAAAATAAGGGTAGCAACCCCCAAACACAAAATCACTAATGAAACATCTGTTTATTTATAAGAAGTAATTTTGCATGTTGTTTTATTCCAAAATATTGTTTACAACCCCAGATATTTAGAAAAAACTGTTTTTAGGGGCGAACTGTGAGAATGTACTTCACCGACTTATTTTTATTTAATAATAATAATGCAGAATTATTATAAATATCCGACTCAATAGACAAAAACACATACAACTAAAAGAGTTCTTTTAGGTTATGAAACATGAAACAAATACAACGTAGAGCGCAAATAACAGGTAGGTACCTACGTAAAACATAAAATAGCGGCCGTTTTTACGGCATGTTATTTACAAATGTTATTTCTAACATAACGTTTTAGCGTAAAATGGGATACATACTCGGCCTGATTGTCGTCACGGAGGGTGGAAAAGCGACACGAATGCAGAATCCTATGTTGAGGAATATGTGCTCAACAAAACGAAAATCACAAAGACGATTTTAGGTGAAGGTCAAACTGAGATCATAATTATTGCCAATGATAATTCTATAAAAGATTATTAACATATGTAGATAGTAATCCTCAAACATTTGCAACTGAAACTTTACAAAATATAACTAGTTTTGTTTTGTACTTGCTATTATTTTTTACCTTGTCATAATAAAATGTGATAAGTTATAATATCTCCAGTTATAAATTGTTACGATTGGCGATAAAATTTTATATGTATCACGTCAGTAAAGTGTCTTTATCGAACTCACCTGTTACTCGCTTAGCTCGCTCGGGTCATGATCTCAGGCTCGTTCCATAAAGAATCACTTTACTGACTTGGTACATACATAATCATTATATATTTTCAGTAGTGGATCTCTGACACTACAGAGAAACAAGATTCAATATAAATAAATTATTGTTGCAGTTGGCTGCGCTGTTGACTACTTTGTAGACTACGAATTGGTGGAAAAAGAAGGGGAAGAATATTTAAACATTACCAATGGCGCTTCGAATATTTCATTTAAAAGGGTATATTTCAATCTGACTAACCTTTTTAATGGTAACGAAGAATTAGGTACAGTAAATGCGAATAATACTGCCAATTTATGTATGAAATAGCTAATATATCCTACAATCAATTTTATTTATCTTTTTCTATGTCTTAATATTTCACAAGCTACTTACTTATGGTGCCTAATTAAATTCCTTACATTATACTTTAAAACATTTAATTTCAGGTGCTTCAACAAACAAAGTTTTAAACGACGAATGGGAAAAGTTGGTAGATACACTAACGCCAGTCGTTGGCAAAACTGTCGCTGACATTGTAAACAGTATTATCAATGGTGTTGCTCGACATGTACCATTTAAAGAATTCTTCTTAGATTAGTTATATTTACTGTTACAAATTGTACAAATAAATGATACCAGTTTATTCCGTGTGCTCTTTTAATGAGGTATTTGTAATACATATCTGTCTTTCTGACATAATCTTAAACTGTGAAGTACAGATAACCTTTTAAGCAAAAGATTTTTTGCTAAAAATAAAAAGCTGTGCAGATAAGTTTCTTCAACAGTACAGAACTGAATTTTAAGGCAACAATAAATTAATATTCAATTTCAGTTTTATCAATTAAATTGTTATCATTAGCATCCTCTGTGTTCGAATCCGGGACATCTTTAACGTTTTCTTTAAACTGCACGAAAAATTTCAGTTCCCTCTTTAATGCCACTTTAAAAGGCAACTTCTTGCCTTTTGATATGCGATAAACTCTCACAGCTAGTTCTACGAAGGAACCAATAAAAGCCAATACTGAACCAACGAAGAGCACCAAGAAAACTCCTCCGACATTTTGTAAATCTAAAGGTGTGGCTGCACCACCCTCAGATTTTCTCTGAAAATATAACGTTAAATAAATTGCAAAATCATTAAAATTATCATCATTGTATCAATTACAGAGCATTTACCACCTCCTCTCTTCTCTTTCCACCATTTTATTTTAAGACTTGTCAAAACACCAGTCTCTTGTAGCTTTAGAACTGCTCTGCTCAGCTCATTGCGATAAGGTGAATCTAAAAATGGATACACATATTGAAACATCATTGGATAAATTAACAGAAAATCTGCAACTCTTACCTTTTGCCATAGCAATTCCATAACCTTTGTCGTCTAAAAGCCCTCCTACTTGTGCCAAGGTGCAATGCCTCTCAGTGGCATATTCTATGGAAGTAGATTCCATAAGAAAGGCATAGTTTTCAGATTCAACCTTTCTCACAGCATCATCATTATCACTCATCATATTTTCTGGATGGCGTACCATATACTTCCATATTTCATTGTAAGAACTTAAATTGGCATCCTATAAGAGCAAAACATTTTGTTAACGTCACATAGTTAAGGGAATTTTTATTTACCCTAAAATAATTGGCCGTGGATCCATTAACCTTCGCCCCATATTTGATCTCTTTTTGAGCAGCCAGTTCGTTGATATTTTTGAAAGGAGTCACTAAGGTCTCGACAGTCAGGAACGCTGCCAAGTTGGCAGTGTATGAGGAAACCATGATTAACACGAAGAACCACCAAACCCCTGATAAAGTTCTAGTGGAAATTGCACTAAAAACAATGTGCCGTAGTTTCAACTTCAAACTCTCTTTATTTACTTACATTGGCGCTAATTCTGTTCCTTGCTGCATCAAAGCGCCGATCGTAAACCACAGCGAATTTCTTATGGAAAATTGATTGACTAAATGTTCTGGTTCTTCCACACAGGGATATGGGTTTTGCCATTCCGTAGGCGACAACCTTCCCATGATAAAGAACGCTAATGATACTAAAAAGTAAGACACTCCTAGCATTATCCATACAGACAATGAAAATGGTCTGGCAAACATAAACAGACTCTCGGGAACTGGTTCTGGCTTCCTGTAGAGTATACTGATACCTAGAAACCAAAGGCAAGAAAAATTTAACTTCTAACTAAGTATATATATTGGTTAGGCAATTACCTAAATTCATGAATGGCATGGTAAAGTCAACATCTCCTTCTCTTTCGGAAGTTATGGTTAAATCTGTAATTGCAAGGTCAGCTCTCTGAAATAAAAAAATGTTATTTTAGTACTCGTCGTAATACATTTTACTTACCCCTTCGATTACTTCTCCTATCATTCCATTCCACTTGTTATTAGTCTTATTTAAATTTCCATTATTTTTATCTTCCTGCACTATAAAGGTATAATTAAACCCTAGCAGTTTTGACAAGCTATCGATAAGATCTACGCAGTATCCTTCGTACCTCTCGTTACCAACCAACTGTGTGGCAGTTTCTGTCAGCATTGCATAGGGTGGTAACTAAAAAAATAATTTATAGTACACAAGCGCGCAGAGTAAAGAATAACTTCAAGGTACTTACAATAGTGATTAAAACTGTGAAAGTTCTATTAAATAGACTGCTTTGTTTATCATCCGATAAAGGAGCTTTGTATGGGCGCTCAAATTTAAAGCTTCTAGAGCTAGAATTCCAGCCACCAACTCTCAGTAAACCTGCAGGAGCAAGTTCAAGAATATCCACTATGAAATTATTTCTAAATCCTTCAAAATCAAACTTCACTGTACCAGTTAAACCTTCCACGCTCATCTGAAATTAACTGCAACTAAGTGGATGAGTTCTGTTACTATTTCATCATCACTAAATACCATTTTCATAAGATTTATTATGGTGTAGCCTTCTGCCCAATTGTCATTCGATTTGCAATAAATTGGTGTCGCATTGATAAACATTTTGTCATCTGCTGTTAACGAGTGTATGGTCTCATAGAACAATTTAACAGCATCCACGATCAAAGCTGACTCAAGTTTCAGCTTCCAAGCAGCAATAACTGCAAGGTCTTCTAGAGGATCGGAAACATTTCTCCTCTTCCGAATCTCCCCGGCTGTAGCAATGACTTCTTTCCTTTCAGGATCAATCATCCGAATCTGAAAAGTAAATCTATGTAACCATAAAAACATTATATTTATATTTACCCCAGTGATGTTTGTTCCGGCGTATTGAAATGGTTGAAGCTCAATAGTCTGCATATCCAAGTCAGCAATAATGTAGCTGTATATATCAGTCATCATTCCAACTTCTTGCATTTGCTTCAAAACTGTTTCCAAAATATCGGTAGAACAAACGATCACAAACTTCGTTTCTTTTGTAAGCTTAACCTTGGTCAGCATAGTACGGTACCCATCAACTTCGTTGGTATTACCAACTTCTAGCTGTCTCAAAACTACTGTTCGTCCCAGCGAGTTAAATTCCAAAATAGTGCTGACACTCAGCAAATTTTCATCAGTGTCGTAGAGAATTATCATACTTTTCCAATCGAATTCCTCTATTAGATCAAATACTACTCGAGAAAGGATACTGGGATGAGGATGGACATTCACCAGGGTATTGTCTCTTTCCAAATTCAAGTCTCGGTGGGTTTCGATGTGTGGTATCTCTTTCAGATCGCACAACGACTGAATATAAGAGGATGAGTGGGTTGAACTTGGTCCAAAGAGACCTATGATGCCTTGCGATAGTAATTTGCAGGCTTTGTTGTAGGAAAGAAGTACTTTGTGCGTAGGTATGATGGTTGGAACTGGTACAAGTTGCATTTGCGACAATTCGTATTTCTTGTTCATAATGTCTATTGCAGTTGTGAAGGCTTGAACTTGATTCTCATCATTGAAAAGACCTCCTATAAATATGTAAAAATGATTTGTGTATGCTGGTGATATACATATGCGTGTTGTAGCTGAAAATACTTAATTATTACTTTTGACACGCAGATGATTTCATTTCTTTCTATAGGTTAAACATTTTAAAAGACTACAAATTTAATTTATTATTAACAAGATGAGTTTGATCTTACTGTACTTTTGATAAACTGACATTTGACAAATTCCTTGATCATTAAATAGCTACATGTGTACTATATAAATTATTATACGTATACATAACAAAATATTGACATATTCTGGAAAGATCACGACTAATTAACATGGATTATTAAACTCACCAACTTTATACACCTGTTTCACATAGCAATTCGTAGTATAAACAAGAAACAATAATATCACCAATACAGACGACACCATTATCACTATTATATGGAGTAAATGAAGAACGTCATTAAAACATAGTTATTTATAAATTTTGGCAATCATTTATTTTTTAACTGCACGAATTGATTTGATATATTGTGTCACAAATAAAGATCAGCATGCGACTCGAACAAAATGTCTGGGCGTTGTCGTTTCAATGAACTTAAAGAGTTTATTTTTAGACGAAAACTGTAATAGTAAATTTGACTGGTTTCCTACGTATTTTCAAGTAAAACGCAATTTTGAAAGAACACTAAATAAATGGTGGCATCTCCACCAAACACATATAGTTATTTTTTTAACTAGAACGCGAAAAACGAGAACGCAAAATTATTTCGCGTTCGAAAAGAAAACAATATTTCTTCGAAAACAAATGTGTTATATACATCAATTTAATTTATATTTGAAATCGATTGAACTGTGTACGAATCAAGACGATTTAGGCATAATCAGTATCATAACAATAGCAACCTAAAGCAACAATAAAAATTAGTTGTAGTGTCAGAATTATGCAGGGTGTCCCAGAATAACGTGTACAACGGAAGACCACAAATTCGTGGACTCAAAATAGGCAGATTTAGGCTAATTCATCTATATCCGAAATCGCTTCGTTTGGCCGTTAGAAGGCCTCAAAGTTCGTGAACATTTTTTGAATTTTGTAAATTACTCGAGTACGTATTCGATTTCGATTATTTTTGGGGGTGGACTTTTGCTTTCAATGACAGTTATCGAAAAAAGAAATTTTAGATACAATTACGACATTCTTTGTTCACAAAGGCAATGGGGAAACTTCTTTATAAAATAGTTAGTAGGTTAACTTCTAACCACTATAGGCTATTGACTATGTCAAAAAAAGAGAGGGTACAAAGGAACTACAACGTAACAGAAATTTTATTGTTTGATATGTTCAATTGACCCTAAAAAATGATAAAACCGCGGAGTGCTACCTTTTAAAGGGGTGCGTTTTTGAGAACGAAGTAAAAAGGTGGTATTTTCAGTTTTTTGAGTTTTACTCGAAAACTATGCATTTTTTCACTATAGTTGTCACCAGAAAAGTTGTAGCAAATTGAATTTCCAATCGAAATGAGATCTTTTGAAGTCAAAAAAAATATTTTTAACAAAAATATGGCCAAAAAACGAGTAAAAAAAACGAAAAAATGCGTTTTTTTTTCTTTTTGGTTTTTGGCCCACAACATTTTTCTAAGAGGGGTTAGGTATAGGCATTGCTTCACAGAAAAAAAAGCTAATGTTTTTTCATTTAAAATAAGCCTTTATAGAAGTACCTACGACTAATAGAAACCGAGATACATTGGATCAAAGTTGGCTACTTTTTGGATTTTTGGCTAATATTTGCCCTTTTTTCACGATTTTCGACTTATAACTTTTTTCTGAGTTAATTTAGGTATATGTAATGCCATATTCAAATGAAAGCTGGTTTCAAGACCTTTAAAATGGTGCCTGGTAGAAGTTTGTACAATTAAAATCAACCGAGATATGTCAATTTAACCAACGATACTTTTTCTTTTTATAAAATTTTTATTACTTTCAGTATTATTTTGTCTAATAAATTTATTTTTGTGAATGTGAAAGTTAAAAATAAGTTTCTAGGTGATTGAATATTATTATTTATTCATTTAAACAACATATTTATCTTGTAAAATTTCGAATTCTTTTAATTATTTTTGTACTTTAAATTAAAAAATTACAATTACAAAAAAAATTCCAATTTTGTAAATAAGAATTTTTCAAATTTAAAAAATTACATCGGTGTATTTTTACTTGAAAATGCTAGTGTTGAGGATATCACTGCTGCATCTGAATGCATTGTAACTATAATGTATAGTTCAAAAATTGACAGCCTAAAATCTTGTCGATATAAATTATTTCAAAAGTATTCAACAAGTGCAAAATTTACCTTATATCGATTGCCTTCAACAACATCCTCTCAAACATCATGGGTTCAGAGTATATTTTCAGATGCAACAGTGGAATTGTTGTACTTTAAATCCCCTTGATTGGGGTTGGAAAAATAAATGGGCTAGTTCCCATTTTTAATAATAAATCTCCTGCACCTGAAAATATACTTGAAAAAATAACCTGTAAATGTATTAAAGAATGTATGGGAATAAATTGTGAGAATGCTTATGAGCCTGATTTTTCTGAAGAGGACATTGATGAAAATGATGACAACGAAATTGATATTCATATTGAAAATATACTAAATGAAACGCATTTTTTCGTTTTTTTACTCGTTTTTTGGGCATATTTTTGTTAAAAATATTTTTTTTTACTTCAAAAGGTCTCATTTCGATTGGAAATTCAATTTGCTACAACTTTTCTGTTGACAATATATAGAAAAAATTCATAGTTTCCGAGTGAAATTAAAAAAACTGAAAATACCACCTTTTTACTTCATTCTCAAAAACGCACCCTTTTAAAAGGTAGCAGTCCGCGGTTTTATCATTTTTTAGGGTCAATTGAACATATCAAACAATAAAATTTCTGTTACGTTGTAGTTCCTATCTAAAGTACATAGTCAATAGCCTACTATATCTGTCAAAATATCAAGTTAATTTATAAACATTCATAATAGCAGAAATTCTAGCAGTCATTATTTTGCAACATATTTATGCAAATAAATAAAAATATATGCACAGGTTGGAAAATTTCGCCAACAAAATTTTACACGCGATTCTGATATAAAATAAATACTTTCCTATCAAAATATGTCCACGAAAACTCCGTTGTTGAGATAGGTGGTACAAGTACTTTAACATTTCTTTTTCTAGTTATTATTTAATACAATGCCTTTTCAGGAAAAATCATTCAAATCATGCATTCATAATTTTTTTTATCGATGCAAATGGCCTTTCTAAAATCACGAACACTCATTCCCGTCAAATTATTTTATTGCAGCGACACTGACTTACACATACTTATGTATAATACAAAATTATACTATCATAAGTTGTTGAAGCCTTCTTAATACAGATTGACAAAAAAACATTAACGCATATGTGCTTGGTGCGTTTAATTTTTCTGACTCAAATTAAATAAAAAAGTGGTTAAGCATTTCATAATAAAATCAGTTCCGTTCTCTCAGTGTAAAGTACCTCGAACTGCCTCAAACAATCTTTATAGTATTTAGATAGGTACCTTAAATTATGCCATTTGCGTCCAATGTAAATTTGTCTGCAAACATGTCATAAAACGGCAATTAACTTCCAATTTTTTAATACTTCCCTAGTTATCTTAGAGGAAGTTTTATTGTAGGTAATTAATTTTCAATTTAAAATTTTTCCATACAATCAGTTCGTCGTAGGGGAAATCTGGGAACAAGAACATTTCTAAATCGTTCCCCAGTAGTTTTAGGCTATTTCGATCAAAATGCACTTTTTCTTAGAGTACCTCAGTCACTTCAGTGCACCAGAAATCTTGCACATGTACGGGGAAGACGCGTTTAGAACTTGCGAAGAAATCAAAGCGGCCGACTTTACAATCAGTTTCAAAATCATTTTCGACGATCACCACCTATCTCCCGAGGAACTAGAGAAGTACAGGCACATGCAGAAGGTTGTTGATGCAATAAGGGCCCATCAACAAGCGAACAAGTCGATTGGCAGCACTGCGGAATCGCACAGGTATTTTTCTTCGGAGGCAGTCCGTTTCATGTATTTCATGAAGTACAGTGAAGCCGAGAAGGAGGTGGTCAAATTCAACGTGTTTGAAAGAAGGATAACTTTTTCGTTCCACCACATCAGTGAAAACTGCAGCACGATAATTTGGTTAAAGGTAAGCAGAGAATTTATTATCTCTTTTCATACGTAAGATGGATTTACGCAGCTCTGGTGTATCAATAATTAAAAATATACAGGGGGTTGCCGAAATTATTTTGTGAAAAAAAATCATATAAACGTAGGTTGAAATATGTGTTTAAATTTTAATTTTTTATTAATTTTTTTTAATTATTTCTAAGAGGGATTTGGGAGGGATAAATGTGCATTTTTTGGAGTGATCCGAATATTTGCTACTTGCTCTTTTAAATAAAAGATTAATAAAACTTGCAATAAAATATGCAGTATAATAATAATAATAAT